AAGATAAGATGTTTAGTGTTGAAAACGGTGTAATGTCGAGACAATGAAAGATGGCAAATAACAGTAAATAAACAACAAATAAAATGAAAAGAATATAATCCTCACGTGACAAGCTTCCAATGGAATGAATGATAGAGATTGATTTAAGGATGCTAAACTTATTCCTCATGTATATTTAAGCTATCTAATCTTTACTTGCTCGACAGAGCTTTCCTAAAATGTTCTCAAAGGAACCTAATAGAATAGGATGCCAAGGCATCTGCTCTCACTCAACGATGTTGGTCAGCCTACCCTATTGATAAAGACACCCTTTTTAGTCGTTGAAATCCTATCCTAGTCTCTCCCGAGATCTAAGGGATTAGGTTATAATATTCCTAGGCCGGTTCAAAGCCCCTTGAAAGTACTATAACCCATTGCTTATGAGGATCTTGTCTTGCGGTTCTCTCGAATACTTACAAGTATTTTTAGCTTAGGTTTCTCCCGAATACCTAAACTTCATCTAAGAAATAGATATTTCCATGCCTCTTACAAACCTAAATGGTGAAGCAATCATAAGCAAAGCAAACAAAGAACCAAAATAAACTTAAATATAACATTAAAATAAAGTTTAAATATCCATTAAACCAACCACCACCAAATAAATTAGTTCATGGTGGGGTTCAAAATATCCAAACACAAAGTAAAGAAAATATTCGTTCCAACAACCCACAAATAAATAGAAAAATAATAGCAAAAAGGGAAGTGAGAAGAAGCCTTCGACGCGCCACCGGAGGTCTCCTCGGCCACCACGAATCACCTTAGCTGGCTAGCTCCTCTCGGCACCTAGCTCGCCACTCCTTGGAGCTTAATCAATGGAGGAAAACCCAAGGAAGAAGAAAAGGAAAGGAAATAAAAATCTGATTTTTCTGCTCTATGCGTGTGCCTCTTCACGTGTTGTGTATTGTCTCCCTTGAGGTGTAATATATAATAAAAATATCTAGGGGTAATGATGATGTTGTTGGATGCAAAATACCCTTCATACCCCTAGAATCACATGTAGTGCGTGAACCTTATCCTCCAGGTGGCAGTGGTCCCATAGCAGCTCTGGCAGGCGGTTACAGCAATCATTTCACGTGCAGAGCCAGCTGTCCTCGTACAATTGTATCTTTTTATCGTTTTCTGCGCCAGAAATTCCAAGGCATTTCAATCTGCTTCAGAAATTCCAAGGCATTTCAATCTGCTTCAACAACTTGTGATGCCGCGACATTTCTTCTCATCTAGTCCTTTTTGCTTGCTATTCCCTGCACACCACAGACAAACTGCACCTGTCCTTCAAGCAGCATCATTAAGAAATAAAATAGCACTACTACCACAAATGCAACTATATGCAACTACATGATCCTAAAATGCCTGAAATGAGCTTTTAAACAAACAATAACTTAAGTGAAAAAGGCCTTAAAAGTATCATTTTTAGGAAGTTAACAAATAATAAGATACTTAAAATCATTACGCATCGAGTATTACAAACAACATGCTCCATTCATGACAAATAAATCACAATGACAACTTAGTAAATTTTATTTCTAATTAATCTTATATTCTCTTAACTAAGTGTTGTAATTTAACATTCATGTCAAATAAATCAAATAAGATAATATATCGTTCTCGATAATATGCCAGATAATATTTCATTTCGAAAATTGTATTCTTACAAATAATATTACATCCTCCTGAATCAAACACACCTTGAAATTTTAAAACTAGTTCTTTTATGTACAAAAAGAAAACAGGGTAAAATGTAGGGTGGGCTCTAAAGAGGATGGTGTGAAATTGAGTATGGAGGTCTGCTCCCATCTCCCATGGCTCTGCTCTTTAATTTATTTGTAATATCTTTGGTTTGTTAAGATGTCACTTCTATTTGCCTTCCTCCTCCATCCATTGCCATGAAACTCACTCTTTTCTGCAAACAAACAACCTCAGCTATGGTCACTTGTCATTTCATTACTGTAATAAATCCAACAGACGGGAGTCTCTATAGGTCATAAAATTCAATTAAAGATCCAAAATTTGGGTTTTAGAAAAGCATGCTAAATGGTATTGAAAAGCTTAACATTTTGCCCCAAAATTCAGAACCATGTTGTTCCCCACGACTTTAAAGTTTAGCAAAACGCAGCTTTCAGAGCAGTAAAAAAGAAGTCAACTTTTGGGGTACTACGAAATCACTATTACTTCAACCAATATTCCGCACGTCATACCATTCACACGTTGTTAACCAAACACATAATTAATCAGAAAAAATGTCAACTAATATTCTACTTAACCATCTCTTGTTTCTAAGTTTAGGAAATAAAGAAGTGCAAACTACTCACCATAATGCCCTTGGACCGGTTTATTTAATTTTTAAATGAGTTTGATTACTTTCGAATCATTTTTATTCTTTCACATTAAAACTTCTGGATAACTTATTTGAAGGAGAGTACTCAAAGGAACATATTCGAATACAAGACATGAGGCACTCAAAGCCTTATATATATCGAAATACCACTTTTTTGACATAATTTCTGACAGACCGAACATGATATGTCAAAATCAATTGACAACTAATTAAAAAATAATATCTAAGTCGCGGTACATAGGTCGAGAAGGGAGTTTCTCGCCGAACATGATATATGTATTATCCTTTTTCTAGACTCTTCTTCGTTTACCACCGTCAATATAATTAATTAATCACAGTCCAAACACCAATCATAATTCTTCATCTAAATCATAAGAATTAAATTATCAACTATTGACTTAAATTATATATATATATATATATGAATCTATTAGTTTTTTAGTTAATTTAATTATTGGCTGGATTATACCATTCTGTTGTGTACCAGGTTTATCCAAACAAGCTTAGTAAAACCAATGAAAAGTAACATGAAAACAGTGTCGTTGTCTGGTAAGAAACTAACCTTGCGGGCCTTGAAACCATCATGGATGCTTTCACGGCCACCGTTCCAATGCACTTGTCGCTGATCGGTGACTTCACCACGTGGGCTGTTTCCGGTGATTCCCATGCAAAGTTGCATGATTTTCTCAGCTGCCTCCCTCTCATTCTCACTCTCTTTCATCAGCCTCTCAACTTCCGCCTTGGGAAGCCTGATTTTCACCCTCATTGCTCCTCCTCCACCAACTCCTTCTTCTTCTTCTTCTTCATCCCCCTCGGGTATCGCGATCGACGTCGGTTTCAAGAGCGTAAGATCCGACACCGACCTCCTCGACAACATCAAGCTCTCGAGCCTGTCTTTAGCGCTCATGGTCACACCCGACCGAACCCTCCTCGGAACCCTCTCTTTGGGAGCCTCGGGCAACACCACCAGGAAGTAAAGCCTCTTGGGCTCCAACCTCTGATGCGGCTGCAACGGCTTTGCTCGGGTACCGTAATGCTTAACCGCTTCCGATTCTAACAAAACATGCCCCGGATGATCTTTCAACACCTCCTCCGCCGTCACCGGCGTCTTCATCTTCATCGTTTCCCCGTTTATCTTCATCACTTTGGCCATCTTTTTCCCTCCCAAACTATTCCCCATTTCCCCCCACACAAAATGAATATCGTTTGGTAAAATGATGGGTTCTGTAATGTATATATGTATGTATGTATATATATATCGATGGTCAAAAAAGAGGGCAAAGCGTTTGAAAATCGTGGGCAAAGTTAATGTTTGACAGAGATAATAAAGTACGCAAGATATCGCTTTCAATGAAATGAATTTTATTACAAAACTAACTAAATTCCAGCATTTGTTCAGATTTTGAACATTAATTCGTCAAATATAATATAATCTAACGAAGGTAATTTAACCGTACGTTAGATTTGAGCTTCATATCATTGCTTCTGTAGTCGAAAAAGGTTTACGGTAATCACGGCTAGAAGAAGATTCAAACCGCACATGTGAAACACTGACTCTGACGCCCAAAACTGGTACGGCATGCAGAGACATTTTATATTTGAATGAAACAGTAGGTCTAAATTGACACTCCGCTCATCGACTTGGAAGTCATTTACTTGTACAATTTTATTTTTCTATTTTTCAATCAACGAATAAAAGTCTATATATACACCGTGGTAGATCCACATATACTTCCGAGTGGGCATGTGCCACCCTGAAATCCGAATTTCCTTTGATTAATTTCTTATTTTATTAACGATACCCACCCTAGAATTTTATCTGTGCCCACCCTAAAATTTTAATTCTGCTCCTCTATTCAAATTTTTTACGTTATTAGCCTATGTGTGTCCACCTCGAATATTGTGTGTGTATATATATATATTGAACTGAGAACTATAGAAGCAAAAAAGACTCCTGTTATCTTGTAACATTCTTCAATTATTCAAGATTCAAAACCGAAGTTGGTCTGAATTCCCAAATCGGTAAATGTACCATAGTCCCAGTTGTTGGCTTGATTTTCATCATGAGAATTCCAAGGTTTTAAGGCTTCTAGAAAATATGTATATCATATGCTTAAAAAATGAAAAAAAAAACAGTTGGTTTTGAGGAACAAAATTAATTAATATACTATTTATAAAGTAGTCATGCATATCCAAAACAACGCTTGGAAAACAGCCGTCGTCCTTAGTTGTTCAAAGACCATTTCCCATTGCTTTCAAAGCAAACAATGGACACATTTTAATCATAAGCAAAGTTCCATGCTCTTTATTTCCTCTACTTTGTTTATCAAAGCGTAATCTTAAAACCCAATACAAGTTTACCAGCAAGAGAGATCAAATAGAAAGAAATCCTCTTTAACCTAGGACGCCAGCTGAGCTTTTTACCCGCCCATCGATGAAAGAAATTAGGGTAAACTACGTATTTAGTCACCTACCTATTTTAGTATGAAAAGAGAGCAATGAGAATGACTGTGTATCTCACGCTCATCTCCCGACTTCTCACGTCTGGAAAGAATAGAATGGTAACTCTGTCAAACAATTAGAGTCGATCAAAAATAAATAAATAAATAAAATAGCGAACTGTCTAGTGCCACCGTAACGGTCAGAGCTGCTGTAATCGGCGAAGATGCTCCAACAATGAAGTAGCCTTCCTCTTGGCCCTCTCTGTCCCACTCTTTGTTAGCTCCATCAAGGCTGCGGCAGCACCGAGACTACATATGCAGTAAAGACTCTGTGTATCTCTTTTACACAAAGCAAGCAAAATGGCAACTGCATTCTCTTTGTTGCGGGGCAAACCAGTTCTTAAAAGATCGATTAAAACAGGTATGGTACTAGCCTTTACGATAGCAGCCTTAGCCTCATGGTTGCTAGAAAGAACCGAGAGTATTGTTAGAGCCATATCGACCATACAGTTACTTGAATCTGTGAGCATCATCAGCAGGGCAGTTACAATTCCGGCTCTCACAGCCCTGCCTTTGTTACCCTGATAAATGCATAGATTGAACAGAGCACTAGCAGCATCTTTCTTCCCTCTAGTGCTCCCATTTTGTAGCAAATCTACCAAGGCTGGTATCGCCCCAGATGCACCGATTATTATTTTGTTCTCATCTGCAAGTGACAAACTAAAAAGGGTCGCCGCTGCATTCTCTCTTGCTTCCATGCTTCCAGCTCTGAGGACTTGGATTATCGAAGGAACGGCACCAGCAAGCATAATAAGAGACTTGTTATTTTCAAAAATGGAAAGGTTAAGAATCGAAGTCACTGCATGTTCTTGTAACGACACATCATCTGTCGATAAAAGGTTGACCAGAACAGGTATCGCTCCTGCATCTGCAATTAGAATCCTGTTATCTGTGCTTCTTTTAGATAGTGACCGGATTTCAGCCACAATAGCCCTACGTTCCTCTAAACATTGACTCGATAATTTACAGACCAGAGCCTGGATGGCAGCCATTTCACCACTAACATCATGTAAAGACCCGTCATTCTTTTTAAGCCTACCATTTGTTAATCCGCTTGGCTGCTCAATATCATGTTTAGCACACCATTGAGTTATCAGACTTCTCAAAACATAATTAGGGGTTAGCGTTATATTTATTAGCTTTTGCTGAGTTTTCGGACATTTTGCATTGCCACAATCTATCCATCTCTGTATGTAAGGCCTCTCATATGTCTGTAAAATCAAGAAGAAGACGAATCAATAGACAAGACTTATAAGAGATAGCAAAAGGCAAAGGCTGACTACAGAAAAAGAAACCGAAATGCAAGCAGTAGTTTGGGTGAGCATATTACCTGTCCAGTGGACACAATCACCGGATCCCTCATTAGTTCCAAAGATATAGGACACAGAAAATCTTCAGGAATTACTAGTGCATCAGGCTTCTTTGTTTCTTTAGGACACTCAGTGGCCACATTCTCTAGCCCCTTAGGATCAATTTCATCCGATAGGCAAACGTCAGAAGAGGTTGAAGAGCTCTTCACTCTGTCCAATATCTTTGTTTTGGTATCTGCACCACAACTTTCTAGAATGTTATCCAGCTTTTCAGAAATTTCACTGTTGGTACTCCCACATTGTTTTCCCGGTGGATGAGACAATGCATTAGAAACTTTTTTTGAATTCAAAGAGCCGTATCTTTCTGTTGCTCTTCTCAATTGAGCTCTTACCAATGATACCTGAAAAAAGAAATTGGTGTTAAAAAGGCAAGTGAATATAGGGGGAAAACACAAATGCAGAAACATATAAATTCTGCAGCTAAACCTGTTCCTGAACTTCCTCAGAGATTTGGTATTGATCATAAGGGATTTTCCCTAAAGCTTTCTCCAGCTTCCATGTAACACATTGGAATTGGAAAGACACTCTTTCGGCACCTCCATCCTTTAAATCAAGATATAGCAAATCTTAGAGATTCTTCTAACGAAACATATTAAGGGAAAAAATTGCATACCCTCAATAAAATTCCAGCAACAGATGCTTTCCTTAGCCAAAAAAAGGAAATCCAGACTAAAATTAGCATATTCCAATGCGCAGCTAATTAATTAGAATTGCTACATTTACCCAGGAAATACTAACAATTGATCAACACTTTGATTCTGATTTGGGGAGAGAGTTGGTAGAAATTAATATTGACAATCTCAATAAATCGCAAGAATAACTCGAGTTCCCCAAAAATTGGAGCTATCTATCGAAGTTAAAGCAATTGACATGGAAGGAGAAAAAGTGTCCATGTCTATCAATTTCGCATAACAATTGACCTCATCGTAAAATAAAAAATGAAACGTATTAGTATTAAAATAGTAAAATAACAAGCATGCCTGCATGACAACATATCCACGTTTATAAAAACTTATAGAACCAATTAATCCAATCATAGAATGCTCAAAAGAAAAGAGACAGAGAGATGGATTCGTTACGGAGGAATCATCGCAATTGCGGGGGGAGGCGACGGACACGAGACGTTTAGCCGCCTGGAGAGCCACGGTAAGATCCCACGACCATGAAGAAGATGAGGAAGAGGAAGCACAGACATGGTCATTATCAGAGGATCCACCAGAATCTCTGATTTCCTCGAGCAAATGCGTGAAGAGAGCAATCCTCCTAACCAGATCCGTGCAATCCTTTTTAAAGATGGCGTAGGCGGCGTGAGTTCCGTCGGCTGCATTGGCGGAGACGATTTCGAGGACAAGGCTGAGCAAGAACGAGGGAGAAGCGCCACCGTCTTGAGGGGAGGCGGCTCCACCGGTCATTTTTTGAAAGCCAGATGTTGGCTCCTGTCTTGAAAGAGACGTCGATAAAAAGAGATTTTTCCAAGATAAATGATTGACGGAAATGCGAAAGCTGCACTCTCGCTGGAAAACGGTATAAAATATTATTAATAATTAATAAATAATTGGATTTTAGTGATTAACAGAGGGTAAAGCATTCTAGAGCTCACTTTTGTATTAATTTCATCTGCTTTTCGTCACTAAATATTTATTTGTTATGATTTGGTCACTTATAATTCAGGGTAGATATTTTACCTAACCCGATTTGTTCCGACCCTGTAGGGTTAGTTTTTTTTTTTAAATAGATTTGTGTCGGGCAGAATTTTTTTAATGATAAGATTGGATTTGATCAATTTTTTTAATTAATAACTAGTATTTGATCTATTACCGACTAATTCATATCGGGTACTGTAGAGGCGAGGCCGACCTTCCCAACCTAGTTTGCTCCATTCGCAAACGTCAGGATTCGAACTCCTAACTTAGTGCCTCATCTCACTAGATCAACTGGTTGTTGGTGGATTGAATCAATTTTGATTTAAGGTAAAAATATTTTTATCTATAAATTATATTAATTAACCTTTATATATTCAAAATAATTTTTAGAATACCCTTTACTTTATATCTTCTTTAATTAGGTCTTTATTTTCACACGTGTATCTCTATATCTTCTCAATTTTGGTGGTGGATGCTATCCACCATTGCTGCATTAGCCCATAGCAACAACATTTACATTCTGTGGATATATAAGAGAATTCGTAATTTAAATAATATCAAGTGTTATATTAATAAAATTATCTTTTTATAAGTGGAGATTAAGAGGAAATTAAGTGTTATATTATAGTTTAAATAATAAAATGAATTATATTATTTTAAGAGGAAATTAAATTATGATCACATGATTGAAAGATGAAATGAACAGCTATCATATCACAATATACCTTAAAATTAAAAGAGAGATTAAAAAATAATGACTTTCATTTGAGTGACCAAGAATTATTTTCTTGTAAAGAAATAAATAAGAAGTGTGTATGGTAGGGGTGTATACGAGTCGAGTCAAGCTCGAGTATTGCTGAGTTCGACTCGACTCGAAAACTTTAAAATGGAGCTCGACACAACTCTAAAACTTGCAAGCTTAAAATTTCTAAGCTCGACTCAAACTAGGAATCATGAACTGAAGCTCGAAAAGGCTCGAAATGATTTTTTTTTCTAAAACTTAACTTGGTTGAAGCCTCAAACTAAAACTCGAATCTGAACTATAAATACATGAAAATCTTATTGTATTAAAAAAAATCAACACATAAATTTTAATATTATTAATAATTTATTTTTTAAAAATAAAATCTTAATATATTATATTTTCGAGCTGCTCAAGAGCTTTTTGAGTCAAATATCAAATAGCTCGTTTCAGCTCTTTAAGAACTTAAGTCGAATCCATTTGATTCAAGTATTTATTGAGCTTTGATCAAATTGATCTCGAGTAATTCGTGATCTGTCTTGTCTCATTTACTACCCTATTGAATGGTCAAAAAGGTTTATACATTGAGCTGCTTAGTAAGTTCGTTGTGCAATGGGCCTTTCGGCTTATGCTCATCCACATATTATATTAGCCGATTATCATCAATAACTTGCTTTGAAAAATGTTGTTTAATTATAATTCAAAATATTTTTAATACACTCGATGATTATAAGATATATTTATTTATAATTTTTTAGTCATTGATAATATATGCATTCTGCGGACGTAATTGTTCGAAACCGTTCATTAATACTAAAATCAGTTAATAGATTTCATTATTACTCAAATCTAAATAGAATTGCAATTTAAAATCATAATATATAAAATAACTCTGATCGATTATGATAAATACAAACTAGCTTTTTTATTAGTTGATGATTGTTACAATGTAGTATATATTCATAACATTTTTTAAATATTGATAACGTATAAAGACTCTACAATTACAGTTGCTCGAACCTAAAATCTCTAGAAAAAAACAATATTCCCTTTAACTAGTGGAGATCACTTGATGAGCTCATTAAATACTAACTAGTTTAAATAAAACAAATATAAGAGATAAACATTTGTCACAGGTAAAAATCTTTTAAATAAGATTTTATAAATAATTTAACGCTTAAAGATAAAAGAAACTCGTAATCGTCTCAATTGTCACTCCTTTTCAAAATTTAGCCTTCAAATTATATATATATATATATATATATATATATATATATATATTTTGTGATTCCAGTTTAAAGGCTTCGTCTTGACTAATCCATACTGATCACTGTCGCACACCTGATTTTGATGAGTGAGTCTCTCAATAGGGATTTTTTGCATACACGGAGACTCAAACTCAAGACCTTACTTAAGTAATATCAAATTTTTTACCACTTGAACCAACTCATGTTGATAATTGTCATGAATTATATTAATGGTGTCCTTTGACTGATAAAAATTATCGTAAACTGTTATATATTGCTATCTATGTGATAATCCACGTGTCGATGATAATATGATAGAAAGATTTAATTAATGTTTTGGCCGAGTTTATAAACATAATTAACTTAAAGCTCGGCAGTTGATATAATATTTAAATAAAAATAAAAATAAATTAAATTTTTTAAAAATATAAAATTATCAAAATTTTAAAGTATTGAAAAATCATTAAAATATAAATACTATTGAAAAATCCGATGCTAAACAGTAAACAATAAATTATTTTAGAAAATTAATATTTATAAAGTAATAAAAAAATTTGCTCGTAATGAGAAGGTGTTTAGCACTAAAGGATTTTCTTTAAAAGATATGTTGTTCTTTCCTAAAATTCGAGCGCTGATTTGGATCAAAGCATTGGGCGACAAGGTGGAGCTGTGTAAAAAGTAGTTGGTTGTCCAAACCATGTAATTGTTATTCGTTTTGCAGCAGTGAGCAACTTGGATTAGTTTGGGCGCCACCTTCGAATGATTTCATGAAGTTTAATGTTGATGGAAAATTCAAGGACAAGATAGCAGGATGTGGGGGAGTCCTAAGATCAAAAACTGGGAATGTCAAAGCTCTTTTTTCCGGCCCTGCTGCATGTGAAGGCCCGAATTTTACTGAATTGTTTGCAATTAAAATAGGACTAAAAATCTGTCAATAAGCTGAATGGATAAGGAAAGCGTTTCTTATAGTGGAGTCCAATTCGTAGATGGTTCTAAACTGAATTTCAAATTCTGATTGAGAATATGATTTTGGTGGTACATTTTTGACGAAAAAGACGACATGATATGTGCAATCGAAGGGGTAGATTTTGTTTACACGCCTCGAAACCAAAATGGAAAGGCGGGTCATCTAGCTGAGGAAGAGATTGCAAGACGAGAGTTATTTAAAGCTTAATGGGACTGATTTTGTAGAAACTTTGTCTATTACATCATGGTTTTGTTGCCTGTTTGTGAAGATTGTCGTATTGCTTTCTTGCATATTGCGTAGGTTTAAATTTTGTGCTGTCTTGATAGGATAGTGCTATTGTCTGCTATTTTCTGTTGTATTGTATTGCTTTGTGCTGTTCTGCGTTGTATTGAATCGGCTACTTTGGATGTTGTCACCTAGTTTTGGTGGGGTATCGTTTCAGATTTTGTATTATGTTCCTTGGAGAACAAATTATTTATTAGGATACTTCTTAATTGGTGTAGATCGAGGTTCTGTTTATGTTGTCAGGTTGAATTTACCCTTTTTTCCTTGTAGGTTTAGAAATGTTTTCAACAATGCATTCTTCCTTTGTGGTTTATTAACAAAATCCTTTCTTGCTAAGTAAAAAAAAATGAAGATATACAAGATAACAAATAAATGTCATCTTGATCAGTTGCGATGATGTCAAATTCAGCTATGAAAAAAATAAACGAAAAGAACATTCAAAAGATATGTAACTCACTCAATTTTTATTTTTATTTTATTTTAATTGATTAACTTGATCAATTTTGGGGACCAATTTGTAAGATTATGAGGATTTTAGTATAGTTTACAAAATTCTTATAAGTTTAGGGACTTAAACTTGAATTTGACCATCTCTTGGCAACTAAGAAAAATAATATTAACAGGTGATTATGGTGGTTTAAACTCGTGACCTTGGGGTATAGATGCCTATGCCTTAGCTATCAAGCTAGGCTATTGTTACCAACATGGAATGCTTAAAATAACTCTTAAGCTATCCAGTTAGATTATTCCCCAAAATATTTTCCTTAATCAGATTTAAGCCAAACTCTAAAATAAAGAAATTCCCAAATTTTCATCTTCCTCTGTTGCTGCCCCTCACCGTCAACCATCTTTGACTGTCGTGTCGTACACCTTCACCATCGACGTGACTATCGACACTGTGTGATCAAAACCTCGGTTCCCCTCATTGAGATTTATCGTCGTTGGTCGTAGAAGAGTTCTCAGTTGTTCATAAAAAAACCAAACCACCGTTGTTTTCTTCATTTTCAGACCGATCCCAACGACCTAATGCCTCACAGCCTCCATTATCAAAATCGTCGCACCCTTCTGATCAAAACCAAGTCAGATTTGTAGCTTCGCCGTCACACCTTCTCTGATCGACGTTGGATAAGCTTCTTACCTCTCTTTCTTAAATTTTTCTCTATATTTTTGCTTGATTAATGGATTGTTTTTTAGTTGAATTGGTGAATAAATGCTTGGGGAGTAATCGAACAGTCGTTGCAGGTCGTTTTAATGTCACACGCGCTGCCACGCATCGCTCTGGTGCGTGGGCTTCTTTGTCGGTTGAAATTTTTAGATGTTGGTCCGAGTAAATTCGGACTGGATCGAGTTAACTCGGACCGAACTGAGTCAACTTGAACCGATATAAGTTGACCCAAACCGATCTAAACCGTAGACTAGACAATTGAATTTGATCGAACTTTGACCCACATAGTTAACTTTGACTAGAATTGACTTTGATCAAGGTTGAATTTGACTAAAAGTTTATTTTTCTAAAAATTCATATTTTATGTTTTTCGAAGTTCTGATTTCACTTTTACGACCAAATTTACCAAATTCTAACATGAAAACTTCCAAATCAAACGTTAAATCCCAAGCAAACAAATGTATTTAATTATTTTATTTAAGCACATATAAATTAAGGATAAGGATTGATTTATAATGTTGTTTATTGAAGATACTCGGTAGACTTTTAGGATTGATTTTTTTTGCAATGTATGTTCCCTGTGTGTTATATGACTGATTTATCTATTTTGAAATATGATTGTTTATCTTATTTAATTTATAAATTTTTTATCTGATCAATATCCTAATTTTCTTATTTATCGTTTATGAACTATGTTTGTCCGATACATGTTCTCTGGTTACCTATTTTTACTAAAATATATAAATAGATTATTTATAGAATCCTAAAACTATGGTTTACTATCTGAACTGTTTTTATTGAGGTACTCTTTGGGATGTATTTTGGAGTTTTGAGGTTAAGCTACGATCAAGTTGGTAATATTTTATGGATTTAAGGGTGGCCCTCTGATAGGCCCCCAAGGTACTCCCTTAAGTTAGTTCCCATATCCTTCGGGTATAGATAAGTTTTTATGGATGCAGTTTTGGGGACTACATTTTGATATACGGGTTTATCATACTTTACTGAACTTTTTTTTTTCCTGAAATCATCAATATGCTTTATTATGCACTTTATTGGAACATGCTGAGCTCCCTAGCTCACTCCCTCAAATTTTCTCTTTTTAGATACTTTTGGTTAGACACCCTCGGACTTGACACTTAGATGGTCGACACATTCAGTATCATATTTTGTTGTGATGTTTCTATCTTCCATACTGTCTTTATTTTAGGTGACAAGTGTCTATTTTTATACATTGCTTTTATCTTGTATTTTATTTTGTTACTGATATTGTGTTATTTTGATATTGGTTATTTGATGTTTTATATATACGCATGAGATTTTATGTTTTAATAATGTTCATATATATTATGATTTTAAAATATCGAAGAACGTTATGAGAAATTTAATATAATCCACGAGATCTAGTCGTAACGTATAAATAGACATAATTATTATAAGAAGAAAAATACTAATAAATATCAACTATCCGCATCCAATACCAAAACTGTAATTCAATGAAAGCATATTACTTTTAAGAGTGTTTTTAAGGAGACTGTAATTCATTATACACTAATAATGTATCAAGTGCAACTCGTTTAAACAACATCTCTTGCTATAAGATGAAAGACTTTCTTCCACTTTCTAACACTATTTAAAATAATATTATTCAAAGGAGCTGTTACTTAGATTCATTTCGCAAGTTCATTTATTCATACTCGACATGCTTTAGAACAAATATATGTTTTTTTTTTTATTTTAAATAAAATGACGGTAAAATTCAATTTGAGGCTTTAAAGTTTTCAAATCTTCTATGTCATCGTTAAACTAAGAAATCATCAACAATTTGTTCGTATAATTATTTTTTAAAAATGACATTAGATTAATATAAATATAAATATTAACATTTAAAACAGTTTATTTCAAAATGAAAACCGTTTAGATTTTTGGTGAATATTTTAAGCGTAATTTTTCACCTGATTCAGTTGTTGAGTGAACCTTTAAGAAAGAATTTTAATTAATTACCGACCTATTTTGGATAATTTACTAATATAATTTACAGCATAATCCCAATATAGGAATCAAATTGCTGAGGAAATTTACAACATGAAGAGCAGATAGTTATTGATTAGACAAAGCAATAAATTAAATTAAACCATGCTATGTCATGCCATGTTTGTAGTTGTAATAGCATCATATATATATATGATTTGGTGTGATATAGTATAGGTCCTCTAGTTTGTTATACTGTTTCCGGTTTTTCCCTCATCATGGTCAAGTTTATCAACGTTCGCAGCTGAAACACTGATGGTGAGATCCAGGTTCAAATCAGGGAGCCGATTAGCGTTGTCCAAGCAGCTTCCGGCATCGGAAACTTGATCATTTTCAAGTTGGAATTTAGCCGGCGGATGAATATTAGCATCACCGGATAATATTCCAGTTGCACCATGTGGGATTTGAGGGCGAGGAAGCAGATTGCGAGTCATTAACCGATGGTTATTCGGATCGACACCCATGTTTACGAGCTTCCTTCTTAAATGAGAGTTCCAATAATTCTTCACCTCGTTGTCGGTTCTTCCCGGCAACCTTCCGGCTATCAACGACCACCTGAATTATTTCACGACAGTGAAAGAATAGCAAGTTATTAAAGCTTATATATCCAGATTGAAACATAGATATGCTGAGCATAATATTAGCAATTTTCTCAAGAGTACTAATTAAAACGAAGAAGAAAAATGGGAAATCTTTTAAACACGAGCATTAATAAATATTGTCTTCACTTTCCCTTTTCACACATTGTACTTGCATTCATAATACAAGAGCAACAACAAAACTAAAATAAACAATGTGATAAAGTAGGAATAGACATAGGGGAGCAGCCCGAATAGCTATTGAAAATTTTAAATTAACATATATTTTAGATATTTCTCTTGTATTTTCTACTCATAATCTATTTTTGATCTTAGAATTTTAAAAGTTTATCTTTCTAGTATAAAATTATGTGTCCGAGAGAGAAATGGCACCGGTTGCCTAAGAGTGCGTGAAGCTTAATAATGAGATCCTCTTCATCTTCAGCAAAGTTGCCTCTTTTAAGGTCTGGCCTTAGATAATTTATCCATCTAAGCCTGCAACTTTTCCCACATCGAAGTAGCCCTAAAAGAACACAAAAAATACAAAGCTTAGCATAATTTATGTTGCATTTTAAATCAAACACCCCAAGATTAATTAACCTGCAGCTTGAGGGAGAGTACGCCAGCAGCCTACACCGTGAATTCGGATGTAATTAGAGAGTTTCTCATCTTCTTGCTTTGACCAAGCCCCTTTATTCGTGTCTTGCTTATCACAGCAAGGCTTCCTCATTGTCTCCTTAATTAAAAACTAAACCCTAAAAACTGATACAATATTAAGATAAAAAGAGAAAAGGAAAAAAATGTATATAGCCAGAGATTGGAGGGTATATGTTAAGGGTTGTTTCTTCTTCTTCTTCTTCTTGCTGCTACACAAGATTTTGAAATAAGGACATATAATAGATAAAGGGAAAATTTGTTGTTGGAGGGGGGTTGAGTTGACTGGTGGTTTGGTCATGCATCGTTTGCATGTTTCTGTTGTGCTTCAAACATAAAAAGGGTAAACAAGACTTTCATACTTCAACTATCACTTTTATTGTGTTTTGGTCTCTTAACTATGTTTTTTTCAAAACTATACCTACTTTAGTTTCATTTTAGACACCCACTATTAAAAGTTAATAAAAGTACTGTTGATGTGACACTTTTTAACTTTTTTCACTAATGATATGACATTATCTTATAGTAACACATCAGCATCATTGTTAATTTTTCTAACCGTAGGTACCAAAATGAAACAAAAACTAAATATTAGGTATAATTTCAAAAAAATAGCTAGATGACCAAAACAAAACAAAAGTGATAGTTGGAGTACTAAGCATGTAGTTTACCCTAAACAACCCTAAGGAGAAGTTTGACTAGGATTTTTATTTTGATTTTTGTTAGTTGCTGTGAAGTATTCGTCTTCCACCCAACATCCATCCACCCATAGGAAGATTGGTTAAAAAAACAAAATATAATTAGAAAAATGGACAAATCATAATATACGTATTCATGCAAGTATAAATAGAAACTTGGTTGATTGGCCAAGGATCAGTGGCAGAAGCAGTAATGGAAGCTGGGATTTGGCACCATCACATGTTCTTTAAGTTGACTGATAGTTTTTTCTTTTCAACATCTTAACAAACAGTCTCTCTCTAATTCTCCTCCTTATCTTTATCTTTTTTTTTTCTATTTTAATCACTTTTATAAAGTTGTGTTCTTTTCAAGTGAAAGCCATCAGAAAGAATGGGGAAATTTTCTGAGCATAGATAACCGAAAATTCTGATGACATATAAGATTGTTCTTGTTATCGTTGAGTTAATATAATCTGTCGGTCCAATATTTAAAACTCTGATATTCAACTCAAGGTCGTCCTTATTTCGTTCATAGGAAAAATTCCTCATTTGAATAATAATTTTGACCTTGCCGTTCGGTCAAGGGTTCATCCTTTGGGGAGATTTTTCACAGTGATTAATTGGATTTAATAGTTGTAGAGTTTTTTCACATGTTTCTTGGAGAAGATTAGCTGATTCAACGCATCAAATTGTGTGTATCAATCTACTGGTTCATCACATGCTTTCTTCTTTTTTGAAAAAAAAAATCACAAATTTTATTAAAAAAATATCTAGAATTATGATGATAAGTTTACCGTCGTAACATTAAACTAAATATATAATTAAGATATTTTTTTGTAACTATTGACAGAAGAAATTAATCATTTAAAATCACACAAGAATCATTTAAGAAAAATGTTAAAAACCTAACTAAAAAACTCGAACAAAATATAGATACGAACAAATCTTACTGTATCGATACACAAACTACAAAAGGGAATAAAACTACTAAAAGACCATCAACATATTGACATATTCAAATCTAATCAGAGAGTTTAAAAAAGAGACGATTAGCTTTATACTCAGTTGAGATAATTTCAAATTCAACCCTAAACATAAATAAAACAACGACCAAATGACTTATAACAAAGATTAAAAAACATATAAAAAACAAAGAAAAATGTATTATAAAGATAAAAGAAATTCATAAAAATAGAACTATTAACATAAAAAAAATAATGATATAATATAATAATGTAACAGAAAAAAAAGTATCAACAATGACTATTAGCATCAAAATTGATGTTACTCCTTGTCAATTAAAGATGAAGCAAAAGTCTAAGGTGCGCTAGGTTAGAGTTGATCACATGTATTATCTTTAAGCTTTCTCAATGTACTAATTTTTTTTTGCCTTTCCACTGTAATAATTTGATAAATCAATGAACTTGTGCTGAAGGTACGAATGATAGACTAATTTTTTTATATAATCATTTGTATCTGATCCATTAATCATCTAATTTTGATCGAATGTTGCAGAGGTGAAATTGAAATTCTAAACCCCGTTTATTCCATTCGTAAATATTAAGTTTCAAACTCTTGACTTTATTTAAAAAATCTAATATCTTATCTCATTAAATCAACTGATCGTTTATAATAATTGACCAATTTTAACGACGTTTAAGGGACAAACGGAACTTTCAAAGCCCGTTGATCTTCTTTTGGACGAGGGGCTATATTATTTATACTAATAATATTATTTCTAAATATAATAATGGATGATTTTACCTAGTATTTCTATTAGGTTTATGGCATCATTTGTATTAAAATATTGGGTAAAATATGTATTTATTACTTAAATTATCGGTTTTGATCTATTTTATTATTTAAAATTTTAATTTGTTTCAAAATTATATTTAAAATTTAGTTTTTGTTTCATTTTAGTACAAGTTCAAAATTTAACGTTAATTTTTGGAAAAAAATGAAAATTTAGACACTGAAACATACTAAAATTAATAGTCTAGATACTAAATACGTTAAATTTTTAACAATTAAATACTAAAATAAAATAAAAAAACTAAATATTTTTTATATAGAGTAACTCACGAACTTATCTTATCTAATTTACAACCTACTCACAGCCGTTAAAATATGGTCAGCCAATAAGATCGTGCATGTCTGTACCAATTTTACCCTGTCAGATTCGTTTGTTTTCAGTAAAAGGATGAATGACAAGTTAAGTTTCTCAATTTTTTCCTGTTTAGTTTCTAAATGGCTTAATACAGTTTAGGTGTCTAAACTTATTTCAAATTAACTTTTGAGGTCTAAATATGTTTTCGTTAAAAATAGGTATCTAACATTTTCTCCATTATATTTTTAGGTGTTTATCATTATTTTTTATGGCTTAATAGAGTTTTAGGTGCCTAAACTATACTTCAAATTGACTTTCAGTGCCTCAAGAATTTTTCGCTAAAATATGTGTCTAACGTTTCTAACTCTACACTTTTAGGTGCTTGGACTGTAACAGTCCTTAAATTTGGTCATTATATGACACGTGTCACTTATAAAAAAATTTCAAAAAAAATAAAAATATTTAATATTATAATTTTAAAAAAATCTCAAAATTCCACCGCTGATTGGCTACTGTCGAGACGTGTCAATCATCGTTGACACCATCAGAATCCTTTCACCGCCACGACCAAAATCCATTCTCTCACCCACCATGAAACTGTGTCGATCGTTATGAAAATCGTCATGAATGGTGGTCGGTTTTCTAAGTTCATTTTTCGACAATTCTGACGGCTACAACTAGTTTTACATTACACGACCGCTACCACTGAGTTCCTCGCCCTGCTTCGAAAAAAACCCAGTCAATGGTGACCTTTTCATCGGAGGTGGGTGATGTGAGGAAGAGAGACGATGCAGGGGTTTGGATTTTTTGAATTTTTTTTTAAAAATAATATTTTTATTATTAAAAATAAAAAATATAACGGCAGACACCTAAAAGTATAACAAAGAAAACATTAGACACTTAATTTTATCGAAATTTTCTTTAGGCACCAAAAGTAAATTTGAGGTATAGTTTAGGCACCTAAAAGTGTATATTTTTTAATTTTTTTTGAAATTTTATATGTGTGACATGTGTCAGATAATGTCCAAATTTAACGGATGTTACTGTCTAAGCACCTAAAACTGTAACGTTGGAAATATTAAACATATATTTTTAGCAAAAAGTTCGTTAAGAACCAAAAATTAATTTGAGGTATAGATTAGACACCTAAAAGTATTAAACCTTTCTAAAAGATTATTTACTCCTAAAATGATCCTTATTTATAATTTAATCCAATAGTTTTATTGTTGATAAAATACTTTTATTTAAATTTTAATATTAAATAAAAAAAATTTATTTTTAAAAAATAATTATTTTATGTATGATTCATGTTTAGAATTCATTAATATATCCTCCAATAATATCATCTTTAAAGTTTAAACTTGAATCTCTCTTCAAAAATACACGATTTGAGAATTGACATTTTTTACGCATTTGTAATATTGAAAATACCTACTTGTATATAAGGGTAAATTACACGTTTAGTATTTAAAGTATTACTTTTCTTTATTTTAGTACTTAAATTTTATCTTTTTCAAAACTATACCTAACATTTACTTTGAGTTTCAATTTGACATCTCACCGTTAAAAAATTAACAAAGATGCTAATGTAACATTTTTTTATTTTTTAATGATGATGTGTCATTACCTTATACTGATACGTCAACATCACTATTAAATTTTAAACGATGTAGTATCAAAATGAAATCTAAACTAAATGTTATGCATATTTTAGAAAATAAAATAAAATTTAGGTACCAAAACATAACAACAAATAATAGTTTAGGTACTAAACATATAACTTACCCATAAAATAATTATATAGTCCAATTTTTTTACAAATATTGTAATTATTTTTTTAGTAAAATAAATAAATTCTATAAACATCACAAGTGAATATTGATTAAAAAAATTAAGGGTAAATTATGTTTTTAGTACCTAAAGTGTCAGTTTTGATTTTTTTAGTATCTATACTTTAATTTTTTTCAAAACCATACTTAACATTTAGTTTTTGTTTCATTTTAGTACTTTGCCGTTAAAAACTTAATGAATGAGCTCGCCGACCATGGCATTTGTTGGCCTATGAAGCCCAAACTTTTCATCTCGCACCTTTTCAACCCCCTGAACATGATTTCGACCTCTGTTTCACTGAAAAATACCTCAATCTCCCCAAATTGACGATTGACTTTGACTTCTTCATCCTCTGATCTCCATCATCAACTGTCTGATGGGCTTGAAATCGAACTATGTTGGTCGACTCGTCATTCTCTCGTGATCCACCGTTCGGATAAAACATTTTGCAGGTGTCATTTTCTCATAAATGAAAAAGGGCAGATATCTGAATGCAAATGGCTTAGTATTCAATATTTTACCTTTGATGGT